CCCCCCGCCCCGCCCGCCCGCGCCGCCTTATGCCTTCCCCGCCCTGCCGGCCGCCCTCAGCCGTCGGTGTCCTACCCTACTGGCGCGAAGCCCCTTCAGGAGGCCGCCGCCCCCGACGAGGACGCTGACCCCGACGTGGACGCGCCTGCAGGACGGGCGGGTGAGACGTTCAGACGCGTGCTACCCTGGCGAGGTACTTCCAGCCTGCTGTGGGAACAGCTGACGCAGTCTCGCCGAGGCTCGCCCCAGCATCTCGGGTTGACTCGGCCAGACAAAAACCCCGAGAGGCGTGGGAGTACCTCGCCAGATGCTACCCAGGAAGACACGCGGAATACGGTCGAGTACAGCGGGACACGTGTCGTCTCGAACGCCCGTCGGGAGACAAGAGTCCGTCTTCCGCTTCTGGGGACGAGCACCGTTGCTGCTCTCCTCGCCAGACTCACCGCCGCCCTCGCTGTCGCTGTCGTCGCTCCCGGCCGTGGCGGCCGCCTGGCCGTACTTTGCGACGTACTCTGCGGCGGCATGGTGCAGAGCGCGCTGTGTGTGGGCGTGTGGGCGTGTGGTTGTGGTGGGGGTGGGGGGGGGGGGGTAGGAGGGGTGGAAGTGGGGAGGGCGGGGCGGGGGTGAAGGGGGCGGGGGGGGGCGGCCTCCAATCTTGGCCTTGTACTGCTCTGGCTCGCGCAGCAGCAGCGCCGCCGCCTCGCCGTTGAGGGGGTCGGCCGCGTTTGGGTAGAGGAGGAGCTGCGGCAAAAAGACCTGCCGGGCGGGCGGGCGGGGGGGGGGGGGGTGGCCGGAAAGGAAGGGGAATGTTTTTGGGGCCGCCCTTGTTTCTTTTTCGTTGTCACGGGGCCGGCCTCCAAAGCGGCTTGTGAACGTGCGAACGGTCCTCCCTGACCCCCCCCCCCCCCCCCGCGCGGACGCGCGCGCGCGAGAGAGAGGCGGAGTCGAGGGGGAGAGACGGGCGGGGCTCTCTCTCGTCTCTCGCGCGCGGCCTCAAACACGTTGAGCAAGTCAAACATCGGCGACCAGGTCTGGTTGATTACGTCGAGGCAGACTGAGCCCGACCTGAGAGAAGGGCGGGTGGGGGAGGGGCGGGGCGGGGGGGAGGCGGGTGTCGCTGCCGCGCCGTCGCTGTCGCGTCGTCGCTGCCGCCGGCAGCGCCGTGCGGAAGAGAGGGTCGGGAGTGCCTCGCAGATAGGGATAGCTCGGCGAGGGGGGATGCGGGGCGGTGGGCGGCATATGCGGGGCGTGGGTGTTGGGGGAGGAGTAGGCGGCGGGGGTAGCGAACATCTCGTCGACGTTTGGGTGGAAGAGGCGGTTGCAGAAGCCGATCGAGGGCGACTTGTACGGGTACCCGTCCGGGAGCTCCACGTGCACCTTCCACGACCCTCCGGCGTACGGGCCTGGCGGCAAATGCGCAGCGTCTCGATGACACCCCGTCCGGGAGGGCGAGGAGGGGGCGGAGGGCGGCGCGGCGCGGCGGACTGGCGCTCACTGTCCGCGGGGCCGTGGAAGATGACAAACATGTCCGCCGGGTTGTCGTCGACCAGCGTGACATCATAGTCACTCATCATCCTGAATCACGGCGGGAGCGGCGTCGGGAGGCAGGCGGGAGCTGCGGGATGGAGGGCAGCGCTGGAGCACTCGGGAAGGTGGCGGTCGCGCGACGCTGGGGGCTGCTGCGGCGTGGCCACTCACAGCTTCATCACGTCAATCTCTCGCCTCTTGCCGGGAGATTTCGGTGCCGATGAGGAGGAGGAGGAGGAGGAGGAGGAGGAGGCTCCTGACATGATAGCGCCTACAGCGCGCGCTGAAGGTATCGGCGCCCTGTTTCTCCAGAGGTGACTCTTTCGCTCCACCTTGAGGCGAGCTCAGTGTTGGACGGGCTGCTGCCGATCTTTGCACAAGCCGGGCAGAGGTGTGACCACATTCTTTTTTACGATCTCGCGAGAAAGGAAAGAAGGAGTGTGTTGTGTACGCCGTCTGAACCACACGTGTCCCTCCATTCACACTCTCCCAGTCCTTCCTGGTCTAGTGCCCGACTTTTCCGCCCGTCGTGCTGAGTTGGTCGCACCTCCGTCCGTGCATCTTCGTCCTTTAGACGTTTCACCTAGAGCAAGCGGGGCGGCACGCCCCTTGGTCCACCCGCCAGCCGGGTGGGGCTTGCACGTGGCAGCGACTCGACTGGTCGCGTCAGCCCCTTTGTGAAGCCCGACACGCTATCCACTGCTCAGGCCATGCCTGACACGCCCACCAAAGCCTTGGAGCATTCCGAAACTCGGGATCTCCTACATGGCGCTAAACAGGAAGCTGATGCAATGGTGACGGAATGCAGGTTCGTCCAGGCCGCCGCCCTCGACGGGCTCGCGGCGAACGTGGCCACTCTCCTCGAGTGGAGCCGACTGCATCACAACGACGGCATCGGTTTCTTCCTCATTACGAATGGCGCTGTCTACATAGACAACATTGCGCCCACTGTTTGCTGCACCCACCACGATGCGGTGCGCTGCGCGCGCTACGAGCTGAAGCTGCTCAAGACGCGTGACTTTGCCAACTTGCTCGAGTTCGTCGCCGATGACAGTCAGTCACCCACCGCCGATGATTTTGCGCAGATCGTAACTGTCCACAAGACGGTCTCTGAGAGACAGGCTGCGGTTGTGGCCGAGATCGTCGTCTCCCAATGCGTCATCAAGCGGGTCGACACCCTTGTCACCGAGGCGCTTCTCATGTCCTTCTTTTCCGACGACGCGCTGCGGGCCATCTACCGCGAGAAGGCCGCCAAGATCAGTGGCGCTGGTGGCACTTCCATTGCCCTTTTGGCCGCCATCCGCTCCACCATTGCTGGAGTCCGGCCGAAGCTTCAGAAGATCGTCCTCGAGACCGTCGGCGTCAAGCCTTTTCTTGCTGCTGGTTTTGGCACTCAGAGTGGACGGATCCACTCCGATTTTCGGCGGCGTTACCTCCGCCTCACCCGGGCCAACGATTGGCTCGAGGACGAGCGGCTCAATCCCACACAGCTTACTGCGCTCCTCCACAAGTTCCTCTCCGAGCTTACCAGTGCGTCTTTCCGATCCGACGTCGACGCCGCGCTGAACGCCATCGTCTGCGCGATGCGCAGCGCCGTCATCACGGACATGGATGAGACCGAGGTTCTTGAGGGGGTCGGCAACGCCAATGAGGACGCCGACACCGCTGATTCCGAGTGCCGGTCCCTGCTCAGCGCCATCGTCGAGGTCTGCCGCCGGTACGATCGGGACGGCATCACGCTTTGCGCTAATGCCCGGGGCGCTGGCCCCGTCGCGCGCGCCGCCGCCGCCGCTAGCACTGGCCGTGGAGCCGACAAGGCCGGCGACGATGACGAGGACCCCCGCGTTGCCAGGATTGTAGAGCTGCTTACCGCTTCCTTCGCTTCTGCCCAACAACGGCGGACGCCGCGGGAGACTGCGGGCGCCGACACCACCGGCGGTGCTCCCCCTACCCGACGCCCCGCGCGCGACTGCTCCATCTGCCTACTCAAGGGTAAGGGCACCTTCCAGCACTATTACGACGAGTGCCCTGAGCTCAAGGGGCTTGCCCCCGATGCCATCACCGCTCTCAAAAAGGAGGCTCGCGCTGCGGGGCACGACTCCTGGTGGAATGAGAAGGAGGCCAAGAACGAGGCGAGGAAGGCTGCCGGCAAGGGCAAGGGCGGCAAGCAGGGCCGCTCCCGGGGCGGGGGCCGCGGGGGCCAGCCCGCCGATCCTCCCAAGAGCACTGCCCTTGCGCTTTCCGAAACCAAGGAGCTCACTGACACCATCCGTGGGCTGCTCGCGCTTACCCCCCCACCGTCCCCGCCCTCTGGCGACATGGACGCGCTCGACGATGTCTCTGGGCTGACCGGTGCTCGCGTCGAGCGTGGACGGGGCTCTATCCACAACTCATCTGTCTAGCGTCCACCCACATACAAAACAAACAATCTCCCATACCGCGTTGGTGTCCAGCCAGTCCGAGCCTGGCTGTTCGCTTCTTCACCTTTCTACACCTACCTACCTGTGTGTGTGTGTGTGTGTGTGTGTGTGTGTGTGTGTGTGTGTGTGTGTGTGCTGTCTGCCTGACTCAGGCACTCAATCTGCCGATGCGTGATTGTGTGTGGGCCGCTCTGTGAGGGGTCCAGGCAGTGTCCGACGGGCAGGGGGTCTGTGCTCGGGCGGTGTCCGGGCGGAGTATCCTTCCGATCCCGCCTGTGATGTTGGGTGTGAGGTTGTGGCGGCTTCGAACCCAAGGGGGGGAGCTGATCCCACTCAGTAATAAAACAAAGCGTGAAAACAAGTGAGTGATTTGAATTAGTGACACAGACAAGCAGAAATAACGGAGGAGGTTCTTTACTTACCGCGGGGTGTGGACCCTGAGTTGACCTGGGGTTGTGCGCTGGGCCCTCCTGCTCGGCTCCAGCCAGTAGACAAGTCTTGTCATCAACAGAGTAGAAGGATCTGACCTCGGGGCCGATGTGACCAAGCGCTGGTAGCGTGGTTTAACCTCACACCCATGGTCTCACAGTGTGCCGGCAGTCGCCGAGCAGTGTCGCTCTCACACAAGCCGCAGCACAAGTGACTGAGGGCCAGTGAGGGCGAGCCCATCGCTGTGACAGCTGTGGCAGCCGCACAGTAGGCTGTGTCAACTGTGCAGAGTGTGTGAGCAGCAGAGGAGCTGCTCTCCAGGCTTCTGTCGCAAAGAGCTGCATGCCACCGAAAGCGCTGTCGAGGTTCGCCGAGCGCGGCGCAGGTTGAGGGACACCGTCACCGACGAGCGCGTTGAACTTTTCACTCCGGACAAAGACGGCCACACGCACACGAGCTGCGGTCGTGTGGCCGTCATAGTGGCGAGGCGCGGGACCGTCAGTGGCGAAGTGGGTCGCGTCCCTCGATTTCCTCAACTCACGGTCCTCTCCCTCTATAACGTAATTCGGTCAAGAAGTTAACGTAATTGAATTTCGCCGAAAGGGCGCAGTCGGTCGCATGAGGTGACGCAAAACCCAGGCACGATCCGCACACTCGTGACCGACACTCGGACCGCAACCGCAGCAATCGGGTGGAACCCCGTCATTGGTCCTATATCAGTCCAAGGCCTCCCGCCGCCACCACAAACCGAATCGTGATTCGTGTCCACCAACTCCTCGCCGAGCCGCCGCCCCGCCGCCCGTGGCCCGAGCTGCTCTCCCGCCCCCGTTGGCGCTGCTCTCGCCCGCCCCCGCCCGGTCAGTCCGAAGCTCTGGGCGTTCAAGGGGTCTCAGAGCAGACTTGATCTCCGCCACTTCGTTTACATACGTATCCCAGCGGCTTCAGCAGGCTTCGAACGTTGCCGTGCTTCTTGAATTTAGGGCCAGCGTCTTCGTAACCGATCACAGGGCGGTCGCGAGTGATGGTTTGCAGAAGCCCTTGGAGCACCTCGTACTCTCCTCCTTGCACATCAACCTTGATGACTGCAACTTGCTCAGCGGGTGGAAGCAGCTGATCAAGAGGCACCAACACCACCGGCTCTCGCACACGCCCGGTCGTTGGCACCTTGGCCCGTTCTTTCCCATGGGCGACATTGTCCTCGATAAGGCTCGAAGAATCCCTGGCAAGATTCAGCTCTGCCATGCGGGTGCTGTTGCCAGCACATACGTGCAGCAAGGTTGCATTCGGGTGCTTTTCGATGTGAGGCACGTTGCGCAGCTCGTGGTACGCGCTCTCGAGGCATTCCACCCCGATGACACGCCGACCGTGCCTGAGCGCAGTTGCCATCTCACAGCCGCCGTTTGCTCCAACGTCTATGACCATTCCCTTCTTGAACGTGGCCTCCGCAAGAAGCAAGTTCATCAATGGGCACTTCCGGCGCTCGTCGTAGGCAAGTCCGGCGGCAGGTGTCGTGCTGCTGAGGACGGCCAGCAGCAGCGCACACCAGCAAGTCCTCATCCTCGAGGCCTCGGCTCGCCGGCGCCTGCGTCGTCTTCGTCGCGCAAGATACGGCGACCGCCCTCTCAATTGCACCAGGGACCTAGGGTCACAACCTCGCACAATTCCACAGACCCACATTGCACGTATGCACGCATCATCACAACGGTTTCACACGAGTGCGACGCGATGTGCAACATGTGTAGAGGCTGCACAGCGGCGGCGGCGGTGGCGGCGGCGAGATACGAGAAGGGGTGGAGAGAGCGGCGCAGTGTGTGTGCTGCTCGAGAAGCGGACGTGGGGGAGAGAGAGCGTCTGCGCATCATCAGTGACCGACAGGGGGGAAGTTTGGCTCGGCATAGGCGCCGGAGGGGTGGAGCGAAAAACGGCAGGAGCGACGCGATGGACAGGCGGCGAGAGAGTGTGAGGGTGTGCGAGAGTGTGCGAGAGCTCGACGAGTTCGACGAGGGGGGGGGGGGGGGTAGCGCTTTCCGCAGCTGGGTGAGCATGTGTGTGGTGGGGAGAGGGCGCGGCGCTCCTGAGAAGAAGTGGAGCAGCGCAGACCAGACGCCTTGCCACGCGCCTCAATTGTTTGGCTGTGAACGCGTCTCACACGTACGCAACCTCTCGAGGTTCTCGAGGTGGATATCCTTTGGCCGCGTTGGGTAGCGAGGATTGGTGTAACCCGAGCCACGGAGGCGTGTTTTCTGGCGGCCGACCCACCGTCAGTGCACGGAGTTGCCCCTTCTCCGACTGCCCCGGCTAGTTCCCGAGGTCGTCGGGTGTGACCCCTGCGTCCCCCGAGACCTAGCGCGGGTGGGTTGGAGGGGCCTCCGTTGGAAGGCGCGCAAGCACGCCCTACGTCTTCCCCTCCTCCCCATCGGGCCGCATGAGCGGCCGCGCCTCGCAGATTCGTTTTCGCGCCTGGGTCAGGCGCGCGGGGCATCCCCCAGGTCGCTCGACCAGCGATCCGAAGAGTGGCCGCTATGCGAAGGAAAGAGCGGGGCCCTCGACGCCTCAGTCCGGCCCTCCGAGGGGGGAAGGGAATTGCGGGGTCCCCACGGGCGCCTCAGTTCGGCCCTCCCGAGGGGGGGAGGGGAGCAAGGGGGTGGGGGGATCGGGGCGGTGGGGAGGGGTCTCGGTTTCTTGTGGCTAACACTTGCCTTTCGGGGAGGGGCCTCCGGCCGTGCGAGGCTAGCTCAGCTCGACATCTTCCCCTCCGCCCTCGAGGCAGCGAGTAGGCAGCGAGAGGAGGTCTCGAGCGCCTATATGACGGTATGTGAGATGGTGATGGGAATGGGTGGTCGGGCGGGCGGGCGGGCGGGCGGGCGGGCGGGCGGGCGGGCGGGCGGGCGGGCGGGCGGGCGGGCGGGCGGGCGGGCGGGCGGGCGGGCAAGCAAGCGGGGAGCGGCGGGCGGGCGGTGCGGAGCGGGCGGGCAGGGTGATCGGGGGAATCGTGTCCACAATCAGCAGCAGCGGAGCAGCAGCAGCAGCAGCTGCTGCTGCAGCAGCAAGCAGCAGCCAGATTGCTGCCGTTGTCAGCGCCGCGATCCGCCGCCGCGCCGCCGCGCCGCCGCCGCCTGCGCTCGCCGCCGCCTCGTAGACGACTCCTCTCGCGCTCGGAGAGCCGCGCAGCGGGCCGCGAGGTTGTGGTACGCAACCTGAATACCTGATCAAAAGCCATGGCGGAACACACAACACGTTTAGAATAAAGATAGCGCCCCGCCGTTCGGATATATGCACGCCCGCGTTGCTCGCTGCGAGTGAGACAGCGATGGGTTAAGGAGGTTAAGGGGGTTAAGCCGAATCGGAGTCCTGTGAGAATGTGGGTCTCCCTTCGTTCTTGCTGGGAGACCCGACGAGTGGGTTAAGGAGGTTAGGGGGTTAAGCCGATTTCGGGTCCTGTGAGAATGTGGGTCTCCCATCGACTTTGGTGGAAGACCCGACGAGATGTGGGTTAAGGAGGTTAAGGGGGCTAAGCCGATTTCGGGTCCTGTGAGAATTCGGGTTCTCCCTTCGTCTTTGGTGGAAGACCCATGTACACTGAATTTTTGTCTCTCAAAACCTAACCATCTAACCTAGGACATAACCGACACTGGTACACATGAGTACGAAACGACTCCACGACGCAATAGCTGATGAACTAATGTGTGGGTTAGATGTTTAGATTTTGAGAGATAAAAATTTAGTATACACGGGTCCTCCGCAGAATCGAGGCGAGACCCACGTTCTCACAGGACCCGGATGAAGCTTTAACCCGCTTAACCTCCTTAACCCACCCGCGGGACTCGCGCACGATGAGCGGTCGAACCACGTTCTCACAGGACCCGGATGAAGCTTAAGCCGGGGGGGGGGGGCGGTAGGGGAGACGGCGAAGTTGGGAGCGATAAAGGAAGAGGCGGCTGAGGGGAAGGCGGGCCAAGCGGGGAGGGAGGAGACGACCTCGGGGAAGGCGGTGGAGGAAAGGATGGCGAGGGAGGTGACGGGGAAAACGACGGCAGGGGGGAAGGAGGAGGACACGCGGACGCACCAAGGCGGCATGGCGGCGCGGCTGGCTGCCCTCGAGGCGGCGCAGTAGGGCCTACGGAGTGGCGAGAGAGGGCACCTCTCCCGCCGCCGCTCTGGCGGGCGGGGCAGGCGGGAGCGGGGAGCGGCGGGAGCCGAGCGGGCGGGAGCGGGCGGGAGCACGCAGAGCACGTCTCTAGTCGAGAATGTGCAAACCACGCCCTACGCCGCTATATAGGGTGTGGGGTCGGATGTGAGTTGAGAGGGAGCGCGAGTCAACCAGCGGCCCGCTTGGCGGGGAGGGAAACTGTGACGAGCGCTGGCTACGCGCGCGTTTTGCTTTGCGTGTATATGCCGTCGTCGATTGGGTCGATGAATGCGTTGCGACATCCGACATGCCATGAAGATATTCTCTCTACGGCTCTAGACTCCGGTCTCCGCTCCTGCGAGGCCAAGGGGGGAAAGCTCGCTTTTTTACCAGAAAAGAGGGTGTGTTTTTGCAAACCCTTTTTACACATAAATAAAAAAACACAAGAAGTGACAGATTCTCTGCTTGCCGTCACCCCACCCCTCAGGCCTCTGCCTCACGCATCACATCGCTCCCCTCGTTACGTCTTCTCTCCTTCACTCGCGCCAATGCAGACCCGCGCTTCACCGCGGTCGTCCGCCGCAAAAATATCGCGGATGCAGCGGTTGAAGGGTTGGAAATCGCCGAAGGCCGCCTCGATCGCTCCGAGCAGCCGTTCGCGGTCGGCGGCGAGACCGCACCGCGACGACTCAAGGCTGAATCGCGAGAGGTCGTCGGCGAGCGAGCAGCGCGAGCCGAGTCGCACAATCTGGATGTCCTCCCGCCGCCCGCCCATCTGCAGCCACGCGAAGACCTCCATCACGCACCTGCAAGGGCCGGCGCGCCCATATCCACATGCACATGCTTGTGCATGTGTGTGCATGTGCGTGCGTGCGTGCGTGCGTGCGTGCGTGCGTGCGTGCGTGCGTGCGTCGTGCGTGCACGCGCACCACAGCCGCGAGCCGTAGGTGTTGCCCACGAGGACGAGCAGCGAGCGGCAGCCGAGGAGGTACAGCGGCAAGCCCGCGAGGTCGGCCGCGACGGACGTCTGGTCAATGGAGCCCTTGTCAAGCCACACGGTCGGGCGCCGCCCATGCGCCGCCTCGAACTCGCTCGCCCAATCGCGCAAGGCGGCCATCTTGCACGTGCCGTCGTCTCCCCAGCTGTGAGACACGAACGCGTCCACCTGCGTCAACGGGGAGGCTGCCGTGGGGGAGAGCACGGAGGCATGAGCCGAGCGCTGCGAGGTCGCAACGCCTGCCCCAGCGACGCGCGCACCGAACGTGCGTGCAAGCCGGTGTCTCGCGGGGACAGCAAGTCCTCCTCCGTCACCTCGTCAACTGCAACGCACCGGAAGCGCTCTGCCGCCTTCCGCAGCGCGCGCCGCAGGCTGCGGTTGCCCAGCAGCGCCGCAATCAGCGCCCCCGCTCGGCGGTTGCCCGTCCCGCCACGGAGTAGGCAGCCGTGGAAGCCGCGGCGGCAGCGCGGCGTCGAGAGCATCGTGGCCAGCAGGAAGCCGGCCGCCTCGACGGCCTATGAAGGGGCGCGGGGCGCGGCGCCGGTGCCGGTGTGTGCCGATAGAAGGGGCGGGTCCTGGCAGGGTGTGCCGACGGAGCGGCCACCTGGCAGTATCGCTGCGGGTCTGTGGCGCTCGGCCAGACCGGGTGCGCGAGCACGCTGGCGGTCACGTTGGCCGCCGTGGTTAGCGCCGTCGCCACGAAGAGGACGCGCACCACTGTCACGAGCCGGAGCAGTGCACGTCGCGGCGGCAGCCGGCGCGAGGAGGCTGCGGCAATGGGGAGGAGGGCGAACACGGCGCCCGGGTAGAAGAGCACGTTGGCCCAAGCCACTGCGGACCGCGCAGCCACCCCCGCCGTGATGCCCCCACCTTGGAGCGCCGCGTCAGAACTGATGGCGAGCGCGTCGAGCACGGCGGGCGGCAGCAGCGCGAGCATCAGCACGCAGATGAAGCCGGCGAGGCTGCGGATCGCGACGCCGTCGGTCGGCAGCAGCGAGAGGAGGACGAGCAGGATGGCGGGCGTGAGGGGCGAGAGGACAAAGAGCGGCTGCCCGATCCGAATCGGAGCGCCGTACGAGAGGCTCTCTGCCGGCGGCGGCAGCAGGTAGGGCGTGAGCCCGGCCACGTGCAAGAACAAGCCGGCGCAGGCACAAGGCGCAGAGATGCGCAGCCGGTTGAAGACCGCCGCTCGCCGCGCCGCCCGGAGCATCTCGACGGCACGCGCGACGTACCGAGTGGCCGGGTCGGTGGCCGGCTCCATCAGCCGCGTCCGCGAGCCGAGCTGTAGCGCGGCGGCGAAGCGCGCGTCCCTCCATGTCTTTGAGGCTGCGCTCACGAGGATGGCCACGAGGATGGCGAGCGTGGGAAGGAGCGCCAGGAGTGCGACGCCGTTGAGGTAGGGACGCTGCTGCCTGTGAATCTCAGCCCGCTCTGCTGCTTCGAGCGCCTGCACCGCTGCCTCGTGGTCGAGGCCCGCGTGCGAACACGGGCCGTCGGAGGAGCACGCAAACACCGACGGCGGCACAGGCCACTGGCAGACGCAGCGGAAGAGGGCGAGGCACGGAGCCTCGAGCAGCCCACCGTCCGAAGAAAGGTAGGCACAGCCGGAGATGTTGGCGTTCGGAGCAAAGGCTCCGGTCCAGGCCGCAACGCCGGCTGCAGCAGTGCCAGTGCCCGCTGAGTCCGCGACCGCGAGCGCCGCGGGCGACCCTCGCCAAGAATGGCTGGTGCACAGCGCGGCGCACTCGAGCCACGTGCCCTCAACCGGCGGGCTCGTGTAGCACTGAGATGCTGAGGAGGACCAGCCTGGAGGGCAGGGCATGGCGCCCCACAAGGAACAGCTGAAGCCAGTCGACCAAGGGACATGATCTGTCGACAGCACGAATTGACACCATCGGGACCCAACAGTGCGATACTTCGCCGCCAGGGTAGGGGCCCTAACTCGTGTGAGGCTACTACTTTCTCGCAGTGACTCGCATTCTAGCTCGTCTACCTTACCTTACCTTACCTTGCCTTCTAGAGCTCTCTCTGAGCACATATTAGCGCTGTGCTCGCTCGCGCGTGAGACCGCCCTTTTCTTCCCTTCGTCTTTCCCACGCTCCTCGAGAGCCCACGAGGACGCGCCCTATCCACGCTGGCGCGCTCCTCCGCCGCTGTTCTCGTCTTTCTCTTTTCATGAGGCCAGCGGTCACCGGGCCGCCCTCTGCGGTCTGGAACCTCTCGCTGGGAGGGTCGTCTCGCCCTCTACCGTGGAGGCGGGGTCCGGAGGAGTCTGCGGCACTGCCCGCTCCTCCCGGCTCCATCGACGGGGCTGGTCCTAAGCCAGCGAAGATCCCTCGTCCGACCCCTGGCGCCCTCGAGCCCTCTTGGGGAGCGCTCTCTGCGCACAGCGCTTGCGCTACGCCGTCCCTCTCTTGGGCTGCCACACCCATGGCGGCGGCGTGGGGCGTCCGGAGGCCTGGAGCTCCGGCTACTTCTCTGCCTTCGTGGCGTCCGATGTCGGCCTCTGCCGCCCTTCTCCCTGCTAAGGCGCCCGTCGTCTCGCGCTCTGCGACGCTGGCGGCGCCGGCTATAGCACTGTTGACGTACCGGCGGCTAAGGCCGAGTAGCCGGTGTTCACAGAGCTCTGTGAACACCGGCGAGAGATTTTTTTCTCTCGACGTTTCTTCTGCGAAGAAACGTTCAAACACTCGGTGTCGAAACACCTCTCCGACGCGCTCGACTATAGTCAGAGCGTCGACGATTTTTTTATAAAGATGTTGCAAAGTTCAGATTTTTACTCCAAAGCTCCCTCACACAACAGTCAACACTGGGCACGGGACTGGCTCGCACTGGCACTAACACAGGTTCAGAAAAGCCTGTGATTTGGTCTCGGCAGCTTGTCAGCCCTCAGCCGAACCTGGGGCCGGTCCCGGTACTCCCATAATGTGGGTAAACCATACTAGCGTATACGCTACTATGAACAGAGAAGCCGTAAAAGTCGCGAGCGGCAGTCCACGCCGAGCCAGCCAACTGCCGGCTCGCACGGCAGCCTCTTCCTCTGGACCAGCCTCAACTTCCATACAGTCAACATTTTGTCGCTGCGTGCTCGTGGCGAGCTGTGGCGGCGGTCGAAGTTCGCCCAGATTCGGTGACGAGCGCCAGACGATAGTAGTGTCTCTGTTCGCCCTGTGCATGTCAGGCCAGGCTGCAGCAGGGCACTACCATCGTGCTGCCCTGTTGCAGCCTGACTTTGCCCACTGTGCACAGTCGCCAGAGCACCACCACCGCCCGGCATCGTGTCACGGCGAGCTCCTTCTGCGCCCGCTCGCGAGGCTCTCGCGCTGGCACACTTTGGCCATCTGCTGCTCGCGTTCGGCGAGCTCATCTCCGCACTCCTGCCACGGTGCCGTCACCACACACCTTCTGGCCGGCCTGAGCCGCGCGGGGTCGCCAGCGGGGGCAACGCGTCGACCTCTCTCTCTGGTGCACCACGGGCCGCAACGGCCTGCTAGCCGCGTGCGCGAGGAGGCAGTGTGCCGGCACAGTCGAGCCGGAGCATCGGGTTCTTGATGCTTCTGGGGTCAAGTCTGACCTTATGCGGCCTAATATGCAACAATAATGCTATGCTCTCACCCAGCCTTTTGAGATATGATCCCTCAAAGTCGAATGTTCGTTTACTGGTGTGACCATAGTAGTCTAGAAACGAGTAGTGTCTGTCTTGTTTGCGAGATCTTCAAACGAATCCTTTAAAGTCTCGACAATCACTAAGCTGCTTATGTGGCACCGCAGAGGCTCCCTTGGGGATGCCTGAGGCCACCCCAACCACTCACTAAGCCGTACTTAGACGTTTAAGACGAATTGTGTCCTACTTTTTTCGTTTACCTACTAAATAAATAAAAACGGACACCTCTCTACTGTGAGATGGGTAAAAAGGAACAGGTCCCCGCCCTTGCGATCTTTGTGCAGGGTTCTTTGTGGGTGTGGTCGGCGACTAGCCGGGGTCGTCCTCCCGATGTGGGGGACTAGCACTAGCCCCGTCTTCCACATGGTCCCTCGGGTCCCTGCTGCTCCTAATCTCTTCGTACATCCTCCTGCTGATCTCGGCAAAGTCCTGCTCCCTCCCTCGTCTCGCCCTGCGCGTCTGCTCCGCCTCACCGTCTTCTGCCCTGCGTCGTCTGGCGACGGGTCCTCCATAGTCGGTCGAGGTCGCCGCCCTCCTCGTGCCTCTTCCCAACGTTCCCTCGGCGGCCGCGCCAATGTACCCTCGTGACTCTCCTTTTACGCGCCAATGTACCCTCACCGAAGGTGCATAGGAGTGAAGCCGATTGAAACTAGTTGTGATCCAGTGAAATCCCTGTCTGTGGGGTGGCGGCGTGCACGTTTTCTTTCTTTCTTTCTTTGATCCATGAAAAAGCCGTGCCGCGCCCATGGCCCCACTTTTCCTCTCGAGGGGCCGTGCCGCTCCTCTCCACCGTGATGCTCCTCGCCATCATCGTCACCACGACGTGTCAGCTGCGGACGGGCGTCGCGCACGACATCGTGCGCCCGCTCTCCAACGTCGCCGAGATCCCTGCCTCCGGCGCCCACCTTGGCCTGTACGAGGTTTTCTTCCGGCAAACAAAAAGGAAAACAGAGGGTCCCCAGCACTTTGCGTTTCCGGAAATTTCCAGGGAAAACAGAGGGTGTTTGGTGCTCCATTCTGGAAACTCGCGAGTTTCCCTGAATCTGAGAGCTGGTCTGGGGCAAAATCTGAGGCAAAATTGAGGAATCGACAAAATAAACTCCCAGGCGGTCGCAGGGTAATTTCCAGGTAACCCGGGGTCTCCGCAAAATTCCCGGCATTTTGCCGATTTGGCCTAAAATTTGGCTGATTTTGGGCCCAAACCAGCCTCAGTCATCAGTCTCGGCTCAGAGCCCAAAATTTGACGATTTCCACGGAGTTTAACAAAAACAATCTCTCTCTCTCGGAGTTTTCCCGGGAAAATAGAGAGGAAAAGAGACGAGAGGAAAACCTAACGCCCACCCCACCCCACCCCGACATCCCCACCCCACAACCCCGCCCCACCCCGACCCGAGCAACCCCGCCCCACCCCGACCCGACCCGATCCACCCCGCTCCGCCACCCCAACAAAAAAGAAACTGGAGCTCGCGTCGCCCGCGCCTTTGAGAGCAGAACGCCGGGTTTGTCTTGTATGTGCATGTCGGGCCTGGGTGTGTGTGAGGGGCAGAGGGGCGGGAGCGTGCGGGGCAGAGGCCCAACGTCGGGCGGCTTGTCGGGGTCCGGAGAGTTCGAGGCGGGAACGAGGAGGGGGGAATGGGCGGTCGGCGTCGGGGTAGAGCAACAGGCGCGTACGGGGTAGCCGTCACTCTCCCGCCTCAAAAGGGCGGGGCTGTCCCGGAAAGTGAGAGACGCCGGGCAGCGTGGCGCATTACTGAACCCTCCCATACGTGCTCGTACTCCTCCTTTGCTGTCCCATCTCCGAGAGCTCTCTCTCTCTCTGTCCCATCTCCTCATCTCTTTCCCGCCTGGGCGGGGCGGTGGGCGGGCGCGCGGTGCGGCATGGCGTGTGCGTGTGCGTGACTGCAACGGAGGACCGCTCGCAGAGGACCATTGGGTTTGTACTATTAACAACGAAGGCGCTCTCAAAAAAAGAAAAGTAACAATCAAGCCACCTGTACCTGTTCCCCCAACACTCTGTTCTCCCATCCAAGCTGGCTCCACGGTGCCTCTACAATGATGCGAGTCGCCGCGCTCCTGCTCTCACTCTCGCCCGAGGTGTACGGGCAGATCGTAGAGTATGCCAAGTGGCACCACCCGTCGTCAATGGACACGATGGAGTCTAAGGCAATGGCGTTCAAGAAGTACATTACGGAGCACATGGCGACGGCGGAAGAGTGAGATGCCCTCGCCTTCCTCGCTGCATGCCCCCTCCACCGTAAACATCTCGCCGCCTCCGCCCCTTCTACCTCGCAGGTTCCGCGGCCCACACAAGTGCGTCATGGGGATGGCCGGCCCGTATCCATGCAGCAACACCGACCTCGTCGCTCTTGTGACGGACGAGTACCAGGGCGAGGCGTACTTCAATGACATTTGGGGCTGGACCGACCCCGTGGACGGCCACGAGTATGTCATCCAAGGGATGAAGTCTGGCACGTGAGCTGCTCTGCTGTCGCCTGGCCTACGCTCCTCTGTAGCCTGAGTCCCCCTCCTCTCCCCTCCCCTCCGTCCTCTTTCCCTCCGTCCTCCTTGCCCATCTCGCGCACGCAAGCCCCGTGCCGCGCAGGAACTTCATCGACATCTCCACGCCCGAGATGCCTGTCATCGTCGGCTACGTGTCTTCGCAGGTCTCGTGCGAGTGCGGCCTCTGGTGCGGCATCTGGCGCGACATCCGCACCTTCGGCAACTTCGCGTACATTGTCTCGGAGAACGAGGGGCACGGCATCCAGACCGTCGACCTCACCCAACTTCGCGGCCGCAAGGACGCCATTCTCTCCTACCGCGCGCGCTCACGCAGACTGGCGGAGAAGACCAACGAGGAGCATCGTAAGCTGTCGACACCGGTCAAGAACGAGTTGGTTGAGGTTTTCGGCATCTTCGCCGGCAAGATGCGGAGCAAGGACAAGGCCTCGATCCGTCGCAACCTGCTCTTCGGCCCGGCACCTGAGCCCCCCTACGACGAGTGCAAGCCCTCGACGCTCGACTTCACCTCGGACTACACCGCCTCCGACGCGCACAATGTCATCACCTTCTCGGTCGAGGACCAGGCAGCAGGCGCTCCCCCGGTCGTCATCACGGTCGGCACCGACAACCACCTCACGGCGCACCCGTACAACCGCGGCCCCAACGGGCAAGGCCCCGGTGACAAGTACGAAGTCGCCGCGATGGACACGGTGAGTGCCTGGTAGATGCGACCCTGGCCTCAGCTCGAGATCTCGCTTGGCACGGCCCCACGCTCACCGCTCGCACACCCCGCCCCCTCCGCAGACGCTTAATGGCGAGATCTGCGGCGGCGGGCTGGGCATTTTCGATGTCGGTGTGGATCCGGCCAACCCGAAGTACATTGGCTGCCACGGGACCTCGCACACGCACGACACCCACTGCCTCATCTACAAGGGCCCGGACGCCGATCACTACGGCAAGCCAATCTGCATCTCGTCCAACGACAACCACATCGACATCGTCGACATGTCCGTCGCCTTTTCACCCAAGTCGATCTCCAAGCTGTACGGCTGCGGCGGCGTCGCGCGCACCAGCGCTCCGGAGCACTTTCCTCCGGTGACATGCGACAAAGACGTCCCGTGCCCACCGGGCGGCCCGTGCCAAAACTGTGCGTAGCTCTGCCCCGCCCTCCCTCAGGTTTTAGCCCCCACTCGCGATGACGATTGAAGCGGCTCTCATCGCGTCGCAGGGAAACCGTCCTACGTGCACCAGGGTTGGCTCACGACCGACCACAAGTACTTTCTCCTCGACGACGAGACGGACGAGCTCGACGGGTTCCCGTACGAGATGGGCTACGCGCCCGACAAGAGACTCTCTGTCGAGATCTTCGACATGACCGACCTCGACGCACCCTTCCTCATTGGGTACGACGTGAAGGACTACGACGGCTACAACCACAACATCTTCACCAAGGGCGAGCTCGTCATCCGCGCGGACTACGAGCACGGCATCCAGTTTGAGGATCAGAACGGCGCGGCGACGGGGAAGCTGGACAAGCTGGGCTTCTTTGACACCGACCCGCCGTACGGGGAGGACCACCCCGGCCTCCCCGTGTTCACGCCTTGCACGGGAGACTCGTGGCTTGAGACGGCCGAATCGCCCTATTGGAATGCGGGTTGCAAGTACACCGCCTCATGGGGTGGCTCGTGGGGCGTCTACCCCTTCTTCCCCTCGGGCCTGATCGTGGCGAGCTCCAACAGCGCTGTCTCCGCCGGCACGTTCATCCTCAACTACACCGGCCCCGCATCGCCCTCGATGCGCCGCCGCAAGTAAGTAGTGAGTCGCCCAGAGCCTTCTGCCTCGCTCGCCCTCGGCATAGCGCCGCACGTAGGCGGTTGCCAGCCACCTGGTGGCTGCTCGTAGGACTAGCGCGTCACTCCCTGGTATCCGAGAAGTCTCTCGTCGAGGTCATAGGTCGTAGTACGTCCTGAGGCCACATCAGCCAATGGGTGGCCAATGCCAATCCCCTGTGTGCCTTGGCAGAGACCGGCATCTGCTGTGTAGGAGAATGGGTGGCCAATGCCAATCCTGTGTGCCTTGGCAGAGATCGGCATATGCTGTGTATAATTGCAGGGTGACTCACCTGCCCCAGTGTATATATGTATCAACCAGCGCTCCAAGCGGAGCGGCAGCCCCGCGCCGTCCCTGCTGCTCCTGCACTCCGGCCAAATGCAAAAAAGAATACACCGCGCCGTCGCGCTTTTAAATTCGGGGCCCACTCCCCCCACTAACCTCTCTTACATCAGGCACAGCCACTGCGCCAGTCTCCCTTGAGGAACACCAGCGACGTAAAGCACTGCTGCGTCCTGGCGCAGAAGCCTCGATCGCCGTCGGAGCACGTATACTCGTTGCGACCAGCTTTACCCGCGGCCGGGGTGTCACAGGTGCACCAGGGGGTGGCCTTCCAGACGTTCTCCTCGAGCCGACTGATGAGCTCGGACGGCAGCACGACGTCTACGCCGCCGCTCGCCTCGAGCGCAGTCGCGATGGTCAGCACGTCTGCGTACGAGTGGCTCCATACGTGCACCGGAATGATCGAGTAGCCATCCGGGGAGGAGCTCACACGCGGCATGGAGAGGAGCCGTGAGATCATTGGCTTGACGCCGAGCGTCGTCCCTTTGTCCCCATCGCCCCACAAGCTCACGCGGCCACTGATCAGCACCTTGCCGTCTCCACCTCCCTCTTCACCTCCCTCTCCACCTCGCCCTCCATCCCCTTTCTCTCCTCCACTGCCACTGCCAGCTCCCTTGCCGCGCCCCTTGCCCTCCCCACCACCACCACTGCCATGCCCGCGCCACATGCGGCCCTCCAGCTGGCTGTAACCCCCACCCCACGGGTAGTACAAGGCAGCAGAGACAGTTGGCTCCTGGAGGAGGGCGGCGACGGAAGCGTTGTCGGGAGGGGCGTTCGTCTGTGCCAGTATGTTGAGCAGTTTCATCGAGGAGCGACGCATCCCCTCAGCGGTGAGGGAGGCAAATGGAGCGCGAGAGGGGGCAGGCCATGCCTGAGGGAAGGTGTACCCAACGCCAGAGGGCCCGGCGATGAGCTCGTCCATCGGGGTGCGCGTGCGATTGATCCAGGAGAGGGTGGCGGGGGAGAGGAAGGCGGTGGCTGGGCTGAAGGTCCACCCGAGAGGGGTTCGGCCGCGCTGCGTGCTCCCCCACCATGTGGTGTCTGTGGAGAAGGGGCCGAGCGTCCACTGCAAGTTGTCCCCATCGGTCATGACGAATGCCACAGTGTGGCGAGGAGGCGATGGCGGAGGTGGAGGTGAAGGAGGCGGAGGCGGAGGCGGTGGAGGAGTTGGCAGCGATCGGGCCGAGGGGCCAGCGTTGCTGAGCGCCGCGAGGTTGATGCAATAATCGGAGGCGTGCACGTAGACTGCATACTGGTTGGTGGAGGATACGAACTCGTTCTCTGCACCCCAGCCCAAGGCGACGCCGAGTGGGGTGCGCGTGCTGATGTGGTCGCGCGACGCGAGAAGGGCTCGCTGCGCGTCTGGCTCGCTGTCGAAGGCAAGCGAGGCCGCACGCGAGAAGGTGGCGTAGTCACCGAGGAACTGAGCTTTGGCAGGCGACTGGAAGACGAAGACGTCGCGCGAGAGAGCCGCCAGCACTCCTGGTCGCTTGAGCACGTCGCCAACCGTCCACCTACGCGCGTCGACGTGCATGGGAATGCCGGCGGCCTCGAGCTGTGCTGCGAGAGCCTCACCAGCGGCCACGATGAGGCCGTCCTCAGCCGCCGCGAGCGGAGCGCGGACTCGCCCATGCCCACATGTGCTGCGCAGGTGGGCATGCGCGTCAGTGAGGCACAGCACCCGTGTATTACACATATGCACATTGCCCTCGGGATCACGTCACCTTAAAAGGCGGCCGCCGACGGCCAGCCGGAGCGCAGGCCCGCTCCGGCGCGAGCGAGCCGAGCTGCTCTGCAGACGATAGCGCCACGCACGTTGTCGAGCCCTCGGCGAGGATGAAACCCTTAACCTCGCTCGCGAAGCGGGTGGCGACGGCTGGCACGCTGGCCATCATCATGCTCCTGCGTTGCCTGCGTTATCCCTCCTCTGCGACTCCCTCAAGGCCGGCCGAGCCTCTTTTCACCCAGTGAAGAGCTTCCTCAGCCACTCGATGTGTTCCTCTCTCTTCATTATGCGCGCCGTAGCCTCATCATTGAGCTGGATCCACCTCTGCACCGCGCCCGTCGCCGCCTCGGCCACGACTTGCAAGTTCCTCGTGACCCCGGCGCCAAGGTCCCTCCGGCTCTTCTCCGAGAGATCATCTACCAGCGCCGGCAACTCCCCCCCGACGGCTGGGGCTAGTGCATCGTACCCGTCCTCATCCAGCACCCTATAGCGTGAGCCCATCAGCGCAGCGACATGCGCTGTCCTCAGCGTCTTCAGCGTATCCTTGGAGTCGGGTGCCGCCTGGGCTACTTTGCTGATCGCCGTCCCCGTCTGCGCTCGCGCTACTCTGAGGAACCATCTGGCCTGCTCCCTATTCCCCAGGCAGGCGCCGCTAAGCAAGTGCGCCATCGTCGCTCTAGGTGGGTTCTCATCTTCCTCGGTCCATTGCTGCGCGGCTTTCCGCACGACCGGACACAGCGGGTCTCGCTTTAGTGCCGCCCTCCTCGCCGCGTCCCTCGCGGCCTTACAGACGAGGCAGCCCCTGAGTTCGCTCCTTGTGGCGGCGCCCGGGGTCTCTCTCCCCGCCTCTCCCCGCATAATCCTCTCGTGGTGCGCTCCGTGTGGCACCCCCGCCTGCTGCCGCACACGCGCCCCCATGACGGTCTTTGTCACCACGTTATGATCATCCACGTCGGCGAATTCAATCTCGCGCTCGCCGTGCTGATCCTTGATCCGCTGGCGCTTGTCCCATTTGTATCTCGTCGTTCCCCTGACCACATCGCTCCACAGCGTCCCCGTCACCCTGCCGTGTGCGACCCCGCCGTGAGCCCCTCGCCGAGCCGTCCTCGCACCCACTCGTTCGTGTGGCCGCGTGTGGCGTAATAAATCCTCCGGTCCAGTACGTCTCCCCTCCACTCTCCGTCTGCCGTCCTCCGGCGGTCCGTGTATAGACACGGGCGTGTCCTCACTGCTCCACGGATGACGGCGGTGGCATCCTCAATCTCGCTGGCCCCCATGTATGCAGTCGCCGCTGCGTCGGCGTAGGCGTTGCTAGCGCACCCCGCGTCGAGGAGAGGATTCGGTTCGGCGTCACGGCGGGGCCGAGCCCGGGGGGTGGGTGCGGCGGCGGTGGCGGCAGGAGGCGGCAGAGGACGAGGCTGGTGTTGGCTAAGGCCGTCGCTCGCCGAGGCTGCGGCGGAGGCTAGGGGAGGGGGTGGAGGCGGCGACCGCCGAGGCCAATCGGTCGGCCGTGGCAGCTCGCGCTTGTGCGGCCGGGCTCGGCGTTCGCCCATACACGGAGGGGGGGGGGAGCGGGGCAACAGGGAGTAGGCAGTAGCCCAGGGGCGTTAAGGGGGCACACACACACTCGAGCCAACGAAAAGATTTTTTCGTTTTCAAAACATAATTGCGCTCATCACCACTCGTGGGTTGCACTCTCTCAATCATGCGCGACTGGGCGGACGCGGAGCAGTTCTGCCGACCAGAGCAACTCTAACACTCACTGTTCATTCGTGGGGCATGCTCCCGGGCGGCCGGGGCACGCAGCTGGGCCTGAGGAATTAGCGACCTCGGCGCACCGCCCAACCCCGACGTCAGCGAGGCCGACTCGCCCACGCTCCGGGCGGCGCGCGCGCAGCAGCTGGCGATCCTAAAGGGGTGGCTCGAGGAGCGCGCCGCGCCCACAGTGGCGGTGGCGTGAGGGCTTCGCTCACAGATAGACGGACGCCAACGTCCGGTGCTGCAGTAGTCCTAAAAATTGGGCTCCTCACCCTCCTTGGGCGACTTTGATGTGGGGCCTGAACCCCTTCCCTTTCTGGGCGCGAAACTGAAAAAGAAAAAACGCCCCATCGTTTTTGTCAGTGTGATTCACGCACTCACTCACTCATATGCCTCCGTACGGCATGCAATCGAGCTTAACTCTCCGCGCAGTTCTCGCTGCGGCACGCCACGTAAAAATAGCGTAATGTCTGTGCAGCACAACGGCAGCATCTCCCGCACTCTCGTCAGCACAGACGCGCAAACCACGCAAAAGGGCTCGGACATCCATGCAGCCGCGAGTAGTGCGAGTGCTGAGGTGCTGCTCCGGCAGGAGTTGGAAGAGAAGTTGCGGTCACAACCAAGGAGCTCGCTTCTGAGCAGCGCTCTGCGAGCGCTGTGAAGAGGGCGCTCGCGCCGGGGCGGGCTGAGCTTGCTGCGGCACTAGAGCTTAGGCGTTCCGACCGCGGCAACCTGAGGACAGCGCAGCTGGCTGTTAAACGCGACATCAAAGCGGCCGAGCGGATGGCCGACGAGGTAAACACACAGCTCGAACTGAGTGCGAGTGGCGTATCGGCGAGATGCGTGCCAAGATGCAGGCTGAGCTGCGCGAGAGCTCGCCGCGCTGCAGATTTCGATGGAGGCAGAGGCGAGGCGCGCTGATGCCGCAGAGGCGGAGAGGTCAAGGATGTACGACAAGATGGAGGGGATTATGCGCACGCGAGAGAGGTTGATAGTCGCACTCGCAGAGGCGCAGCGCAAGCGCGAATATAGTGATTGTTTAGAGATATACGTAGCGTTACAGTCGCACGGTCGTCGCCCTCCCACTGTGTGCGCCGCGCCCGCGCGGACCCCGGAGAGCTGCTGCGCGTGCACAGACACTCAGACAGCGTTGCGCGAGCATTGGAGAGGCCAGCCTGCTTCTCAGCGTGTCGCGAGTGCTGTGTCTCTGCCTGCCTTGAAGCTGGGTGCGGCGGGGGAGTCTCTCGTGGTTTTTTGTTACACGATTTACGGACTCACGGATTTACGGATCCACCCCCCTCCCTCCCCGTCCCGCGGTCCGCGTCCGGCCGTGAGGCGCATCTACGAATCAAAAGTTGGTGCCGGCACCATGTCGTGTACGGCTTAGGGCTTTATGGTTTATGTGCGCTCGGACATATCAACAAGTACAAGTAACAAGATCAGATACACAAAATAATACAACCCCGCCCTGTTAGGACAACAAGAAATGTTCAGAACGCCCAA